GGTTGCAGATATTGTACTTTGCTCTATCATCCTCAGTGCAAGTAACTGGGTATTTCTCATCTTGTGTTTAAATGTGATTTACTAGTATTTTGTAATGGACTAATGGTTAGTGCAAGTTCTGGGAAGTGAATGTAACAATGTTGCATTGTTTTTACCTTATGTCCAGACTTAGATTTATTTCAGAGAAGAGTCAATTGCTCTGTGTAGGTGTTTCTGATAAAATGCATGACTCTCTAACTTCCATAATATGGTTTCAAAATGTTAAAATTCATGTGACATATTTGAGAGTCCCTTTAAAAGAAGGGAAGCTCACCTCTCATGTTTATCAACGACTAGTGGATGATGACCCTTTATTTATATTGATTATCACTCTCATTCTTGATACATTTCTCCTTCTATGAAAATATTTTTAGTTATTTCTCTTGTATTTCTTATCTAATTCATAACTATTTGATCAATGATCCTTCAATATAGGGGTGGACAATCGGTCGGTTCGGTTTCAACTGAACCGAATAGATGACTACCGGGATTCCGATTTCAGGCACAAGGCAAACCAATACGAACCGAATTATATTTCGGTTCGGTTTGTCTAAACAAAAAAAATCGGTTCAGTTTGGGTTTCTGCCAAAAATCAAAATTGGTCGTTGTGCGTTTGGTGCTGCTGGACAATAGACCCCCAAGCACATAAACCCATTAATCTCTCCTCATTTACCCTTTCTCTCCCCCGTCTTTCCTCCTCCCCATCTCTCTCCTATCTTTTACCCTTCTCCACTTTTCTCCCTCTAGCTCTCTGCTTTCATTTCCTAGTTCATATTCATGTAGCCCATACCATCCGCCTCCATGATAACCAACAACCCCACTAGGCTATTTCCATTGCCATTAAGCAGAGAAAATAAAGCAGAATAGAAGAAAATGAAGGAAGATGAAACACAACCCACTACCACCAATCTTCCTCTACCCGTGTCCTGATGTTGCAGACAACGACATCGACTATGAGAAAATTTAAAGGTAAGTTTCTATTAGGGTTGCATGTCTGTTTGGAGATATGACTTCGCTTCAATTTCCTATTTTTTGTGAGGTTGAAGCCTTGAAGGGAAAAGCGGGACCTAGGGCGAAGAGGAAAGATGAGACCTGGGGCGAAGAGAAAAGATGGCATCGACCTGATTTCTTTCTCTCTTTGGGTTTTCTATGGTGGACGAAGACGAGAGTTGAAAGCGGTGAGACCACCGGAAATATGAGAATCGGCTGTATTCCATAGTGGTTGTTAGGGTTTAGCAAGGTTGGGTTGGGTTGGCAGTTGGTTTTGGGTAGTAAGTTGGGCTATGTAAGTGAATAGGCTTATTTAGTTTATCCTCTCGTTTGTTTATTTTGGTTTTTCGGTTGGTTAATCGAAATTCGGTTTTGGTCGGGCATACCCTAGTTTTCGAATTGTGGAGTTTTGCCTTCTGAATTCCGAACCGAATTAATGTTATTCGGTTTTGATTCGGTTTGGATTTACCGAATTGGATGTCCAGCTCTACTTTAATAGATCTAGGATGTGTTTTTGTACTCTTTGATACCTTCTTGGTATGTTTTTTCATGGTTTTCAAGGTACAAAGCCGCCTAAAGAAACTTGGATAAAACATTGGAAAACTTTGGAGGACCAAAAGATCTATAATGAGAAGAATGTAAATCCTTTATGATAAAAATGAGGTTTAATGGGTAGTCCACAAAGAAAATGGGTGGCGATCCCAATCGACGCACTACCACCGCTAAGAGGCCCAAGCCTAAAACAAGTTCTTTAGGCCATGACTTCGACCCTAAGTCCAAGAAACCTTGTCTTGTTCAGTTTAGGAGGGTTTTGGCCGATTTTTACCCCTATAAATAGGAAGATAGGCTCCTTAGTTCAGTAGACTGCACAACTACATTCAATCATTTGTATACTCTACTCGAGTAAGAGTTTAACTTTCATAAGAGAGGGTGATTCTAGGGAGATGTTCTCATCATCGAGGTGGTTCCCTCATTCTCTTCTCTGTAGTTAGTTCAAAATTGATTGTATGAGGATTTGAACTCATTTATCATTATATGTATTAATGCTATGATTTCCTATTATGCTTGTGTTGATGCTTATGGATTTTGATGCTTATTGTGTGTGCATGGTTGCTTGGTTTTCAATGCCTATATGATGGTCGTTGTTGTTTATCTAGTATGAATGCTTCTTTATCATTGTGCTACTATATGCATTGTGCATAGTATCATCTAGGCTGTTAAGAAGTTACCCTCTAGTGATACCCCATTGATGCTACATGAGTATAAAGGGAATGTTCAACCATCTATACCTCGAGTAGTAGCAATGCTTGATTGTTATATCATTGATGATATATACCAAAAATTATGGATAGTAGAGGCCCACACTTAATCATGTTCTATCCTAACTTCCTTGTTATTCATTGATTAGGTGGTGGCATTAAACAAAAACACGCTCTATCACAACGGCGCATGCATGGGTAGAGAATGGCCTTAGTGGAAGGGATAAAGTGATGCTATAGATGATTCATTGATGCATGATGTGATTGAGCTTTAGAATACATGATAAAACTCAAGTTTTCCTTCTTATACAATGTATCTTTATTTTTATGTAGCCTTAGTGGAAGGGATAAAGTGATGCTATAGATGATTCATTGACGCATGATGTGATTGAGCTTTAGAATACATGATAAAACTCAAGTTTTCCTTCTTATACATGTATCTTTATTTTTATGCATTAATAAGTAAAAAACCCCTAAACAACTTTACTATTCTTGTTTGTTAGTTTAGAGAAAAGTCCAAAATGTTTCTCTTCTTTTCGTGTGAGTCATAGATGGTATGATGTGAGTGGTTATTATTCATTGGAAGACCTAGTGAATGTAACCCTAGGACATCCTAGGATTTATAAATCCAATTATGCTACATCAAGTTTTTGGCACTGTTGATGGGAATCATATATAAAACCATCTAACCATCTTAGGTTTAGTTTTAAGTTTCTTTTGTGTTTTATATTTTCATAGGAATCTAGTAAGTACTAGAAGAAAAACAAAAAACCTAAAGATCGTGAAAGAGATCATCTCAGAAAGAGGATACACGAGTTCACCCATCTTACGGACGAAGGAAAGAGCATCTAGCTCAGACAAAGAAGAGAGCTCAAGGCCCACCAATGTCGAGCCTAGCTTGGGAGAGGAAGACAACATTGACAAAGACTACAACTTTGATTCAGAGGAAGCAAGGGCATCTTCAACTTGTTCAACAGCATCAATGGTTGGAGAAGAAGGAAAAAGACAAGTGGCCATCCCACCTACTCTTTATGAGTACCCGTGGCCAATCCAACATCACCTCAAGCATTGCTGCACCACCAACCAATATAGAGATTCAAACTCAACTTATCCAGATGGTGCAACAAGCTGAGAGATTTGGAGGAAGGAATGATGATGATCTGGTGCTACACTTGAAGAAATTATTAAAGATCATCAATTCCATACTAGGAGATGATGATACCAAAGATGGAATATGACTATGAATTTTCCCGTTCTCTCTTAAAAGAGGAGCAAAGCAGTGGCTTGACTGCCACCCACCAAACACCTTCACCACATGGGAGACCCTTGCTCAAGCATTCATCGACATACTACCTTCTTTTACAATAACATACCTTTCCTTTCATGCATATATGAACTGAAAAAACCGAACCAACTTTACTATTATTTCTTGTTAGTTATATAAATACCCCTAAATTCTTTTTCCATTTTCGTGTGAGTCAATAATGGTTTGGTGTGAGTAGTTATTCATTAGAAGACCCTATAAAATACGATGTTAGGCACATCTAGGATTGTTAGTTGTGTTTTCTACATCATATTTTTGGAGTTGTTGCTGGGGGAATTCTAATCATATATAAAAACATCTAACCATCTTATATTTAGTTTTGATTTTCTTTCGTTTTGCAGATTGTTAAAAGAGTCCAGTAAGTACTAGAAGAAAAAAACCTAAAAATTGTACAAGAAGCAGGAGACACAAGTTCATCCATCTTGAAGACGATTGAAGAAGCATCTAGCCCAGAAGAAGAAACCTCAAACCCCACCAATTTTGAGCCCAGTTTGGTAGAGGAAGACAAGATTGACGAAGAAGAAAACTTTGATTCGGAGAAGAAGCAGAATCTTCAACACCATCAAGACAAGTGGTTGTCCCCCACCTACTCTTTATGAATAATTAAGTCCAAGTTTTTGTCCCACCTACTCTTTATGAATAAAGACAAGTGGTTGTCCTTCCTACTCTTTATGAATAATTAAGTCCAAGAGCATCCAACATCACCTCAAGCATTGCTGCGTCACCAACGACCAAAAAGATACGAACTAAACTCATCCAAATGGTGCAACAAGCTGGGAGAATTGGAGGAATGAATGTTGATGATTCGATGAAACACTTGAAAGGCATTCTTGGAGATCGTAAATTCCATACTAGGAGATGATGCTACCAAAGATAAAATTTGACTACAAATTTCCTCGTTCTCTCTTGAAGGAGGAGCAAAGCAGTGGCTTGACTACCATACAACAAGAAGCTTCACCACATGGGAGACTGTTAGAAACCGAGTTATCTAGGGTTTCTATATTTATTATTTTAATTATTATTAGGGTAAGTCTTATTAAGGTTAGTAGTCATTTAATAGAATTAGGTTTATTGTTAGGGTTTTCCACTATTTCCTATATATATGTACTTTGGGTTTCCATTCAAAATGAAGGAGAAGCATATTAAGAAAATCCCTAAACCCTATTCTCTCCCAAATCCTCTAAATTTCTCATCTTCCCCTAATCCGGCCGCCGGCCATTCTTTCTATTCTTCCCCAATTCTTCTTCCAAATCCCTAATTCTATCTTCTCAATCCCTAAATTCCCAAATATCACCCAATACGAATCCCGTTAGAAACTTTGTTTCTAACATCTGGTATCAGAGCCCGGTTCGAGAATTGAGTTCACCACAACTCTCAACCGGGGACGTGTTCTACAACTGGTTCAACGATGAGCTCTTCAAAGCTCTCGAACCTGTCGTGGGCAGAGCTGCGTGACCGGGCTCGCCGCATCGGTCGTCGTTGGAGCTCCGAGGAGCTGCCGACCGGGAATGCCACCACAGTAGAAGAGCAACTGTCGGTTGCACAGGTTAACTCAGGGGATGACGGCGAGGTGCTAAAAGAGCATCCGAGCGTGGAAGAGCTTTCGGCCTCCGTTCCGCCAAAGATGGAGACGATGAAGGCAGCAATCGCGGATGGCGTGGCTGCTGCTGCGACGCCAGCAATCGCGGAAGATGGAGAAGCATCGGAGGAAAGCACCGAGGTCAATTGTGCTGCTGATCCGCTGCAGTCGCTGGTGCAAGAGGATGGAGCATCATCGCCTGCAAAAGTACTGCTACCACCACCACCACCTGCTGCCGTCCACATTCAGGAGCTTAACCCTCTTCTCCCAGCCATGACGAAGTCGCCAGGGTCTCTAGCATCCGCAACCACATCGCAGAAGCAAACACCACCAAAGAAAGAAGGCCCACCATGGCAAGTGACTTGGACGGATAACGGCGATAACATGGCTGCTGCTGTCCAAGTTCGTGTAGTCCCTATTGGGGCCGCAATTGACGGAACGGGAGATGAATCAATCAACAACCATTACCCTCCGACTACAATGAGACCAGGTTTGAAGGTTTATGGTGATGATGTCCGTCTCAGGCCAAGAATCCGCTTCTATTGGAGGAAAAGAAGGAAGAAGCGACGGGTAGCTGCTGCCGAGAAGCTCTCCGATGTCAAACCACCACCACCACGGGGTATGACGACTACTTGGATGGAAGGATCGCCAAAGAGGGGTGAGCGATGGATGGCGACACTCGGCGGTAAGATGGAGGCCCGTGCCAACACCAATCGTCGATTCAAAGCGGAGGGATCCAGTTTATCTCCTCGTCGCGGGAAGAACTTCTTGCCGGAGATGAAAGTCAGATCGCGTTTGGCCGTGCCACCGGAGAAGCAGAAGGGCGTGGCTGCTCCAAAGTCGCCGAACGCTCCTCTGGGGTTCGATTCGCCGTCGATTACGGAGGGTGTGGAGAGGAGTACCGGGACGTCGAGGCCTACTCCCACCACCTGGCGAACTACTCGCCGCGAAACACGACAACAACCTGTCCACCGTCGAAGAAGAAAACGTCGCAGAGGGACTCGCCGGCAAAGGACAATAAGGAGAAGAAGTAGATCAGCGCCGAGGAGCTGCTACTCGCGTCGCCGGGAAATGAAGCGCCGAGGAAGGAAGCAACGACGGAGACGGAGGAGGATCAAACTAGGAAGATGACGGACTTGTACCTTCCTTCCCATCGTCACAGTGGTCGCTGTTCGAGGAGGAAGACGTCGGAGTCGGGGTGGCCGTCGGGTTGCTCGCCGCCGGGAAAACAAGGTGAGAGGAAGAATGCTGGCGGCGGCAGTGTTGCTCCACCAGCAACCTAGGTCACACATCAGAGGAAGAGCTAGTCCGTTTGGGCCACTCTACTTACCGGGCTGCAATTCCTTATGGGCCAGAGCGGAGTATCGGGCTCGTTTTTTGTCTGCTGGAGTTCTCTGGGCTTGAGTTGGGTGGCGCAGATCAGCAGACCTGTGAGAAGAAGGATCAACAAAGCAGGCCTGATCGAGTGGGCCAAGGGCTGAAAGAAACCCATCTGAATGGGCCAGAAAAGAAAGAGATCAGTTGGGCTTATGGAGGTAATGGGCCGAACTGTCTGAAGAACCCTGGGCCAATGGGTTGTGTTGTTGCATTTATTTTGCAGGAACAAAATATGGAGAAAGAAAGAAATGGGCTTATTGGATTTGAAGGTGGGCTTTCAATAGAGCTTAATTCAAACCAATTTGGAGAAGAATGGAGCCCAAAAGAGCTTTTCTTCACCACTAAGTCCATTATGGAATTTATAGAGCCTTCTCTTGAAGACCTCAAGCGGGAGAAGGAGGAAGAACAGTTATCCGATTCTTATTTCGTGGATTTCGAAAAGAAAGAGGAAGAATTGTTTGGCTATGGAGACCATGACCTGTGTCACGTGGTTCGAGAAAAGTTGGGGAGAGTCGGGGTCACGGGAGTGGGTTTCATTCGAGCAGTGGAGCACAATTGGAAGAAAAGAAAGCGCAAGGAGTGGAGAAGACGAAACGCGGATTGCGCGGGAGATGTGAGGAAATGGGTCGAGTCGATCAACCTTGAGGGCAAGGTTGGTCTGAAGGGGGAGGAGATGTTAGAAACCGAGTTATCTAGGGTTTCTATATTTATTATTTTAATTATTATTAGGGTAAGTCTTATTAAGGTTAGTAGTCATTTATCACATTCACTGCCTTGCTAAAGCAGTGATTTGGTATCAAAGCCTGCGATCGTCGATGAGTTCCTCCCAACTCTCAGACCTGTCATGGGCAGAACTGCAGGACAGAGCCCGCCGCATAGGCAGTCGTTGGCTGCCTGCGGAGTCAGAGACCGCGTCTCCCGAAGCAGCGACCCTCGTCGCTGTCCCTCGCCGCGACCAGGCGCCTGACGCGATCGCGCCGCGCGCCCCGCGCCGCTCCGCCCGCGCCACCCCCGCCGCCCCCGCCGCCTGCGTGCCTTTCTGCGGCTGCCGCCGTGACTGGCCCCTGCCTCTCGCTCCACTCGGTGGCGGGATGGACCTCCCCGGGGACCCTTCACTTCTTAGCCCGAGTCGAGGATCGCGTGGCCAATACCCTAGTCGACAGTGGCGCGTCCTTGAACTTTGTGGGAGAAGAATTCGCCAAGCAACTGCAGCAGGCACCCATAACCACCGATTCCATGGTGGTGAAGGTGGCGAATGGTGCTCCTTTGAGCTGTGTAGGGGTTCTTCGAGGTATCTCTTTGGAAATTCAAGGTTTGCCTATATCCACTGATCTGTATGTACTTCCAATCAGGGGATTCGACATCATTTTGGGGATTCCGTGGCTGCAGAGACTGGGTCCCGTGACTAGTGATTGGCAGCGGTTGATTATGCGTTTTAAATGGAGGGATAAGGAGTGGAATTTGCAGGGCCTCACCACTGCTGTTGGACCCATCTCGTTCGAGGAATGCGGTCCGGGAGGCGAGGCCGAATTGGCCATTCTGTGTTGGCCGATCGAGGAGGGGGCGCCGCCGGTGCTCCATCCGGAGCTGCAGGAGTTGCTCGGACATTACTCGGATTTGTTCGAAACTCCCACCTCCTTACCCCCTCACCGATTGGTGAATCATCAGATTCAGCTAAAGGATGGAGTGGAGGCAGTGAATGTGAGACCGTACAGATATGGGAATTCGCAGAAGGAGGTGATTGAGAGACAGGTCTCGGAGATGCTGACCACGGGCTTGATCCGAACGAGCACCAGTCCGTTCCGTCGCCGGTTTTGTTGGTAAGGAAGAAGGATGGCACCTGGCGCTTCTGCACTGATTATCGGGCTCTGAACGAGGCCACCGTGAAGGACCGTTTTCCCATTCCGACAGTGGAAGATATGCTTGATGAGCTTCATGGGTCCCACTATTTCTCTAAGCTGGATCTACGGGCGGGGTACCACCAGATCAGGATGCGGGAGGAGGATGTCCATAAGACAGCATTTCGCACTCATAACGGGCACTACGAGTACCTGGTGATGCCATTTGGGTTGTGTAATGCACCCTCCACCTTCCAGGCGGCCATGAACGAGATCTTTCAGCCTCTCCTACGTCGGTACGTCCTGGTTTTCTTTGATGATATCCTGATTTACAGCCCTTCATGGGCAGATCACTTGGTGCACTTGCAGGCAGTGTTCGAGGTACTGAGAACGAATCAGTACTATATCAAGGCATCCAAGTGTGAGTTCGGGGTGCAGGAGGTGGAATATTTGGGTCATATGGTGACTCCACAGGGTGTGAAGGTGAACCAGTCCAAGATTCAGGCGATGGTGGACTGGCCGGTTCCCGCGACGGTGACTGAGTTGCGGGGTTTTCTGGGTCTGATAGGTTATTATCGGAAGTTTGTGCAGGGGTACAGCATGATCGCCAATCCACTGACTGATCTATTGAAGAAAGGGGGGTTTGCTTGGTCACCGGCGGCGGAGACTGCCTTTCAGCGGCTCAAACAGGCAATGACGACCACTCCGACTCTCGCCATGCCGGACTTTTCGAAGTCCTTTGTTATTGAGGCAGATGCATCGGGCCGGGGGATCGGGGCGGTGTTATCTCAGGACCGCCATCCCATTGCCTTTATGAGTAAGACGCTGGCACCCTCCAAGGAGGCTTGGTCAACGTACAAGAAGGAAATGCAGGCGATCATTACCACTGTCCAAACATGGCGGCCGTATCTCTTGGGTCAGAAATTTCACATCTACACCGACCACCAGAGTTTGAAGCACCTTCTCGAGCAGCGGGTGTCCACACCGGATCAGCATAAGTGGGTGTCGAAGCTGCTAGGCTACGACTATGAGATTCATTATTGCCCCGGGCCTACTAATGTGGTGGCGGATGGATTATCGAGGAGACCGGGCAGCGAGGTTCTCGCGGCAGTGTCAGGGCCAGTTCCGCATTTCTGGGATGAGTTGAGGGCGTCCATGGAGACCAGTCAGTATTTACAGGATTGTCGGGAAATCGCAGTGAGCGACAACCTGGGGCATTATCTGTTTCGACAGGGATTGGTGACCTTCAAGGGTCGAGTGGTTCTCCCTCCCGACTCAAACCTGGTCACCTCAGTACTGCAGGAGTTCCATGACTCCTCGTTGGGAGGGCATTCAGGCGCCGAGAGGACACTGCGCCGGATCAGAGGCCATTTTTACTAGCCCCGGATGGCACAGGCTGTGAAAGCCTATGTAGAGTCATGTGATACATGCCAGAGAACGAAGCTGTCTTACCTGCGACCCGCCGGCCTTCTTCAGCCGATGCTGGTGCCAAAACGGGTATGGGAGGACATTAGCCGATGGCGGGAAGCCGGTGTTGTTCGTGGTAGTGGATCGACTCACTAAGTATGCTCATTTTATGCCGTTGGCGCATCCATACACTGCGAAGTCTGTGGCAGAGCAGTTTGTATTGGGAGTGGTGAGAAATCATGGGTTTCCCAGGTCTATTGTCAGTGACCGTGACCCTGTTTTCTTGAGCAAGTTTTGGCAGGAGGTCTTTGCAATGGCACGGACGGTGTTGCGCATGAGCTCGGCCTATCATCCCCAGACCGACGGACAGACGGAGATAGTTAACAAGCACCTAGAGCAGTATCTGAGGTGCTTTTCCCACCAGCAGCCGAAGCAGTGGCTGGCCATGCTTCCTTGGGCGAAATTGTGGTATAACACCACGTTTCATCGGTCAATCAAAATGACCCCGTTCGAGGCTTTATATGGGAGACCGCCCCCAGCATTAGTTTTGTACCGTGGCGGGTCGAGTTTGGTTGACGCGGTGGACAAGTGGTTGGGCGCACGAGACGAGGCATTGGCGCAGTTGAGAGCCAACTTGGCTGCAGCGACCAACCGGATGAAGCAGGCCGAGGATGCGGGGCGGCGAGATGAGGAGTTTGAGGTGGGAGACTGGGTACTGCTGAGGTTGCATCCCTACTGGCAGTCCTCGGTTTTCTGGCGAGCATACCAGAAGCTAGCGGCTAGGTTCTTTGGGCCGTACGAGATCGTCCACAAGGTCAATCCGGTTGCTTATCAGTTGCAGCTGCCTGCGGGTTCGCGCATACACCCGGTGTTCCACATTTCCTTGCTGAAAAGGTACCGGGGCCTGGCGGACAGGGTGACTGCGACGGCTCCCCCTGTGACAGCAGATGGCGACTTGGAGTTGATTCCTCTCAAGGTGCTGGAGACCCGGTGGACCAAGAAGGGTGGACGGTTGGTAGAAGAGAGTTTGGTGCAGTGGAAGCATGTAGAGCTGGAAGATGCCACCTGGGAAGAGTCAGAGGTGCTTCGTCAGAGATTTCTGGACTTCGACCTCGAGACCGATGTCGATTCTAAAGAAGGAGGGGATGTGGGAAACCCGACCGGGGGGGGTAGAGTGAGGGCTGAACTCGGCCAGGAAGGAAAAGGAGGAGGGGAATGGCACACTTGTAATTTAGAATATTTTGGTTTACTACTTAAGCCTACAACTCATTAGTTTTGGGAATTAAGCAATAATAATTCAGAAAACCCAATCCCTAGTCTCTTTCTTCTCTCTCTTGTTCTTCCCCAATTCTCCAAATCCCAAATTTCTTCTCTTCTCAATCCCTAAATCCCCAATTGGAATTTCTTGTGTCTTACATCCCTAATTCTAGTCTTACATCCCTCAATCCCTTAATTCTTCTTCCAAATCCCTAATTCTATCTTCTCAATCCCTAAATTCCCAAATATCACCCAATACGAATCCCGTTAGAAACTTTGTTTCTAACAGAGACCCTTGCTAAAGTATTCATCGAGGTGTACTTTACACCTTGGAAGATTTAAGAAGATGCGATTACTCAATTTCAACAGAAGGAAGGAGAGACTTTCTATGATGCTTGGAGGAGATTCCAGTAGTACATCTAGGCATGCCCACATCATGGATTTACAGCGGAGCAAATAGCAAAGTACTTCGCCAAAGGCCTCGATCGAGACACCACGATGATGGTAAACCAATCGGCCAATGGAGATTTCATAACAATGATGGGAGTGCAATGCCAAGAGCATTTCGCCACACTAGCAAAGAATTCAAAGAATCGGGCCAAGCGTCCATCAACGATCAAAC